TGATAACCTTATACTGAAGTGCATTCAACCCCTTGTCTAGCATTTCATCCAACAGAACTCCAGCTGTTTTAAAGAGAATTTTCGACCTGCATGCAACAAAAAAGCCAAATACCATCAGTTTACATTTGTCCTGAAAACTCGGACACAATAGAAGAAACTGAAAAGGAGATACTGTTCTAGAAGTCAAGAAGATGAAGATTATGATAGTTACCCTTCAGTCAAAATCTTAGAATGTCCAATGTGGTAACCAATTTCTCCACCTAAATCAGAGTTGCGAGATTTAGCAACCATCTTAGCAACAGCTACAACCGCAAATCTCCTAGGCTGTGTACACAAAATGGGAGCCATGTTTGCTTCCAGAAGGAATTGTGGAACTTGTGAACTCTTCCCTGAAGCAAAGAAGGACAAGTAAGTAACCACACTACGGATGAGATGAATCGAAAATCCAGTTATCCATTACAATCAAAACAGTGGCCCTACATGTACTATTTTGGCTTTATGCGTTAAGATAGAAACGAATCGAATGAACTATCCAGTCATAGGAAACGTTCAAAATCTGGTGTCAGACATGAAACCCTAGGAGAGAAACAAAGCGAGTCCAGAATCGACGGAGTATTTCTATAATCAAAATGACGAATACGACAAAAAGAAAAAGAAAAACCCCAACGGAAATGCAGATTACTAGAGTAAGTCGTCGAGTAGTGAAGTAGAATAAGAGAAAGAAGAAGGCGAGCGCACGTACCGCATCCAGGCTCGCCGACGATGAGAGTGACGCGATTCTCGAGGATTTTGTCGATGATTCTCCTCTTCATCGCCATAATCGGAAGCGAAGCGAAGTTCGAGGAGGGTAAAGGTAACGATTCAGAAGAGCTGGAAGTCGAAGTCGGCGAAAAAACCGCCATTGTTGTCGTACTCAGAGGTCTCTCTTCCTCTACACGCAGAGTTTAGTGATCTAGTCTCTGCTGGTACGAATGACTAATACTGCCAATCACCTCCTCCTCTCATTAGCTTTTAGAGGGGGAGGGCGTCGCATCGTTTAGGTCGTTGTTCTCTCAAGTCTGATTAGTTGACTAAGTTTGACTAGTCAAAATGTGTGCGGTGCTTCACACACACTAGAGAGTTTGCCGCGAATTACCTTACCTGGGTGGGTCCCTCTAAGGAAAGGGCATACATATAACATGGGCAAAAAAGTGCCGCCAATCAAAATTATTGAAAAAATAAAATAATGTAACGAAATGAATCGGCCCACTCATAGCCCACTAATATAAAAGTCCATTAACGGGTATCTCGGGTCATCCAAACCCAAACCCGAACCATTTTCGTTGACGAAACGAAACCTGTCTGGTTTTGTTGCGTTCTTCCGATTTGGGTTGGAGAGGAAATGGCGTCGGGATGGGGAATAACGGGAAACAAAGGGAGATGCTACGATTTCTGGATGGATTTCAGTGAATGTATGTCTCACTGCAGAGAGCCCAAAGATTGTACTCTCCTTCGTGAAGATTACCTCGAGTGTCTCCACCATTCCAAAGAGGTACCCACTTCTTTCTTTTTCTTTCCGGTGTTTCATTGGATTTTCCGGTTATATTGTTTGAAGAATTTTCATTAATTTGATGGTTCTGATTTTCAGTCTGATTGTGATGTCTAGATCACTGAGTTGTAGAAATTCCAAAAATCCTTGATCAGGTCGACCAAAAGGGAAATGAGTCCACACCTTTTGTTAATTGGGCATTTTATAGTTAAGATGACATTGGAAGATCATGTTCTCTTGTTTAAGATAGGATGTATCGATCAGGCGTTTCTGGAACTAAATCATCTCTGTGGATGTTACAACTGTTCTTCTGCAATTACATACATGGCTCTCTTACAACATTACTGTAGGAAACTGTGTTACTATTGATTTACACCACTGGTGGTTTCTTTATTTTGTATGAAGATGCTGCAGTGAGCATTGTTTAAGCTTTATGTGTTGTGCACCTGTCGCAGTTTCAAAGAAGGAACAGGATATACAAGGAGGAGCAGCGTAAACTACGAGCAGCTTCGAGGAAAGGTGAAGAAGGCGTGGATGGGACTCATACCCATCACTAGTCTCAACAATCCTCCTCCAAAGAAGAATAAAAAAAGGTTCATGGAAGATTTTGTATCTTGGAATCTCAAAACGCTTTGATTGTTTTTTCAGTTTTCAATTTATCCAATCATGTTCTGCTTCCTTTTCATGTTAAATCGTCTCAACACACCTTGAGACATGTACTTTTTCTCCTGAATTATGGAAATATATTGTGCAACATTTACTTCTTCAGTTTTACTCCATCCAACCAGGATCAATGGTCAACTTTACTGCTCAAATTTTGGTCGGAATCTTCTGTTTAATCAATTATAACAACGGTTCTTAGAAAGCTCACAATGTACATTGGAAACCAGTTATAGTTACATCGTAAACATGTTTGATCGATCAAACAAGTCCCCAGTTTTCTTTTATACATTGATCATTTAGCCTGATAGAATTCTCCCAGGCGACTTTAGAGTACACAACTTCTCTCAGAAGTGTCTGTGCCACAAGCTAGAGATCGTGCGGTGATTCGACAGGACAGGGAAATGTGGAAACCAATCCCTCTCCCAAGCATGAATTTGATCTGTTTCTGGTTCTTGGTGTCCACCTGGATAAATGAAGAATCCAACGTTCTGATCTGGCATTGGTGGCGGTGATAATCCCCTTCTTGTCATGGAGATGAGAGGTGGTGCGAGAGTGGGACCATTGGCATGATGTTGCCTCTGATGATTATAAGCATGATGTTGTGTATGAAGGTGTTCACGCATTTGGGTGCTGCTTCCTTGGTAACTGTTAATTGCTGGTGAGGTCCTTTGATTAGACCTACATTGCCCAAATCCAAAAAAAAATATTGTAAAACACTGCAAGAAGTTGAGAGCAATATGGAGTTCGGGAAGCTAACCGGTGACTAAAAAGAAATGGGTGCGCATAAGGTAGGCCTCGTGCTGCTGAAGAGTCAATTTCACCATCAACCACATGAGCACCGGGTAGTGAAAACGATGGGGAATGATGATGATACTGGGGGGCAACAGCAAGCTGGTGAAAGTGATCGTTAGAGTGGCTGTTCCAGGAATGATCATCTGTGCTGTTGTTGTCGCTAGTTCTCGGGGTAGCAGCTGGGCCCGGTCCAACATATGCAAGATACGAATGATTCACAGCAGCGGCGTGGTGTCCATGGAACTCATTATGATCTAAGGAAGAAAGATGCCTTTTGATATTATAAACGGTTTGCTAGACAAAATGAAATGGTCGTATAGAGAACAATCAGCGTCTAACTTACATGTAGTGGTTGCAGGTTCCAGTTCCCTGAAACACACAGCAAAAGTCAATTCAAGCTTTCGCGTTTGAAGGACCAAAAGCTTTTTAAGGAAAAACATTCTCTTGCCTTAGCAAAGAGAGACAATAGCAAAAACCATGGTAAAGGTGTACGCTTACTCGAAAGAACCTGCTTGAGAGAGTTCACCAAACGGGCACCAATGGACCCGATATTGCTGCAAACACCGTTAAAGTTCAGGATAAACGATTTCACATTAACAGGTTGTTTGATAAAAGCACAGTTCTCATGAACACGAAAAGAAAGCATATATCGTTACACAAAATACTGAGCTTTTACCATTTCCGGATAAGTTAAAGCATACAAGTCTTCTTCAGGGATCCAATCTTCCATAGAAAACTCTGGAAAGGGGCGAGTAGAACCGTTTGCATACAACCACTGACCCTTTTCGACATTCCGACAGTTAGGGCATTGCATGGCTCCTTTCATGTTAAAAGCCGATCCAATGCAATCTGCAAGTGACCAAAGAACAAGCTGCTAAAGGGAAAGCCGTAAATAGCAACAAATTCACCAGCCAGATAATAGAACTAGCAAACGATATTCTACTACATAGAGCAGAACCCGATTCACAAGATACTACACACATTTGTCAGAACTCGACATAGACATCATTTCTTGGATCATCCCACTGTAGAGTCGTGGCAATCTAAGCTTCTAAGTCAAAGCAAGGGGAGAGCTTATACTTAAGGAATCCCTCTATATTCTCACATTGATTCGATTATCGTCTAAATCTACCATTAGATGATTGCAAAAAAGCTCGTAGGCAAGCCTTTAAAGCCATCAGATCATTAAACTTTGATCCTAGGATTACTATACAAGCAGAGACTATATCAAACGAACGCAGATTGGCAATTGTGATCGAGGAAACGCAAAATCGTAAAAGATGGAGGAAGGGGTTGAAATACCCAAATGGAATTCGTGACCACATTGGAGCTTAGCTTTGGATCTGGTACCATCATCGACCACCAATTCGAGGCAAATCGAGCATGATACTTCGACAGGAGACGAGGCATCCTCCTGGTTCCCGCGTTTTCCAGGGCCCCATCCACCGTCCGATTGGCCAGCAATTCGGCGATGATCATCGCAACCAGAATCTTTAGCTCCGGCCATATCTTCACCAGCAGGCCAAATCGGAGGGAAGCCACGAAATTATTTTCGTTTTCAAAAGAACAAAAAAAAACAGAATTGTCAAACAAAAATCAATGAAAAATCATCTCTCGCTATCGCTATCTCTCTTTGTTTCTCTCCGATTTCGTCTGCCTTTTGGAACGCCGATGCGGTAATAATCTTACAAATCTATCCTTCCTCTTCTCTCTCTCTCTCGTCCGACCTGTTAGAGATGACGTGGTTCAAAACCGGACAATGACATTGGACTCTCCCATTTCTTTTCTTTCTCTCCCTTTGTGGATAATTTATTTATTTTATTCAGTTTTTCGATTCGGATAGATCGTCAAACCATTCATCTGAACCAACAACATTCATCTGAACCAACAACATTCATCCAATAACCAACCTAAATATTGTTCATTTAAACTATAAATCAAAATTTATACTATAATTTGTTTTGATAACTTCTTTTTATCACACCCATTATGTAAAGTTTTTGTTTAGCGAGAAAGATTAGAATATTAAACACGAATATATTGTTTAGGGATACCAAAACATTGTATTGTAATAAACAGTTACACATATAAATGCAAATGTATATTGTTGTTTCACATATATTATTTATTATTTCACTTCTTCTTCTGAATTAGACTATGCAGAGACTTTGCTTTGACTGCTACACCGAGTAGCTTTGCTTAGGGTTTCAGACCTTGATCTTAGGCTTCTTCACGATCATGACCGAGCAATGAGCGTGATGGGCGCAATAGTCGCTCGTGCTCCCGAGAACCGCCCTTGTCGAATGATGATTGTCAAGTGAGTTAGAATGGATGCATAGTTAATTATAAGAATTAAGGCTGAATGAAAAATACCTCTTGATAGCTCCATATCCATGGCTTCCCACAACAAGAATAGAAGCATGGTGCTTATCTACAACTTCACATAGGATATTCCTTGCATCACCTTCAAAAACTTCGATCACCGCACCATGAACCTACACAACAAACCAAGGATGATTGAGAAGAAGAAGGTAGTTGCGCCCTCCTAGTAGCTAACTAAAGCTAGATAGTTGCTATAACCACTGCTACTTAGCTTGAAGCTCTTGAATGTGCTAGAGATTCATATTACCAACCTCATCTAACAGTCCAATACAAGACATGATGATAAAATCCAAGAAACACATAAATAAAGGACCAAATGCGAAGTCTATCAAAGAGAATTCGAATTTTGATAAAATTAAGACCGTACCGATTTGCTCTGACAAATTGCTTTGGCTTTCTCGACAACCTTAGCAGCGGTATGCTTCAGATCAGCATCAACATAAGGTACAACCTCCGCAGTTCCTAAACACACAGATTAACAAAACCTAAATGATCTCATCGCTAAAAACAGAAACCTTGACAAGGAGAATCCAGAGGGAATGGGGAAATTAAAGAGCGTACCGGGACCAGCGAGACCAACGGCGGAGACGGCGTTAGGTTTGGCGTGGACGATGAAGAGCTTAAACGGATAATTGGGAGCGTAAGGAGCGAAGAAGCGATCGAGCGTCCACTCCAAGGCGTAAGTGCTCTGCTCGCTGTCGTCGACTCCGACGACCATCACCGATTTCTCATCTCCGGTGGCCATGACTCCTTAACTGTTCGCCGGCGTGAAGACAACGCGCTCTTGTTTTGTGCTTGAAAGAAGGAAAGAAGCCTAGAAGAATCCTCCAAAGTGTTGCACAGAAAAAGAGAGTTTTGGTATTTTCTAATAAAAAGAAAGAGGAATGTGATACTTTGATTTGATGACGTGGATGGTCATCGTTCCTTGATGCTAAATTTCCGAATATTTTATTTTCTGCACCAGAGTTTTTACGATACCCACAGATTTTACACAAATTTGTTCTACTATAGAGAACATGGTAATATTGAATATTACATTTTCAAAAAGTAACAAACACTCGATTTTAGTTGGAAATTAAATAAAATATTAACAAAAATTTCTTTAGATATATTATAGAAAAGTTAACAATAATTCGGCTCCGAGATAACAAGAATGAGACGGCGGCCGCCTGAAATATCCAGACGTGAAGCAAAAGCAGGAATGCGACAAAGACCTTTCTCTAAAATAACCTACCAAATTATTCTTCTTCGTCTTGACGCTACTGCTTTTTATCCGATTTCAGATTTCTCCAGAATCTTCAGATTCCATGGCCACCGTCTCCGCCTCCCCCCCTTGGCCAAACCCCAATCCCACTCCAGGCTCTGCTGCTTCTTTCTCCTCCACGGCTCCGCACTCTGACGATGATTCCGACCGCCAGCTGGATTCCAATCCCAGTTCACCGGCGACGCCTCTTCCTTCCCTGCTCCACATCTCCTTTAACCAGGACTACGGTTGCTTCGCCGTCGGCACCGATTGCGGCTTCCGAATCTTTAACTGTGATCCCTTTAGCGAGATTTTCCGGCGTGATTTCGACCGAGGCGGTGGCGTTGCCGTTGTGGAGATGCTTTTCAGATGCAACATCTTGGCCTTGGTTGGTGGTGGACCCGATCCTCAGCATCCTCCCTGCAAGGTCATGATTTGGGATGATCACCAGAACCGTTGCATCGGAGAACTCTCTTTCAGGTCTGATGTTCGCTCCCTGCGCCTTAGGAGGGATCGGATTATAGTCGTTCTCGAGCAGAAGATATTTGTCTACAACTTCGCCGACCTCAAGCTAATGCATCAGATCGAAACCATTGCAAATCCCAAGGGTCTCTGCGCTGTTTCTCAGGGAGCTGGTTCTTTGGTGTTGGTTTGCCCTGGTCTGCAAAAGGGCCAAGTTCGGGTCGAGCATTACGCATCTAAGAGGACTAAGTTCATCATGGCTCATGACTCCAGGATAGCTTGCTTTGCCCTCACGCAGGACGCCCACTTGTTGGCTACGGCTAGTTTCAAGGGTACTCTCCTTCGGGTCTTCAATACTGCTGACGGCACCTTGTTGCAAGAGGTATTTTCTTACTCCTTTTGATCGAACGAAAGCCTTGGCCTTAGCATTTCTATATGTAAGTACTAACACGAACACAGCTCAGTCTAAGAAGTAACTGCCTTGCTATATTTAGTTGTTTAGGCTAAGCAAACTCTTTTAACTGTAAGTGTTTCTGATTCTAAGATATAATTCTGCAACTCATAGTTTCTGATTCTAAGAATTACTTCTGCCGAGTGCAGTGTGATGATTTCATTTTGAGTTGGTTTTGAATTTGTTTGTATTCGACTTTTTATAGCATTATTCATACTGTTTGCTGTCTCTCTGTTAAGCTATACGGAGGCCCATCTCTTTTGACTGTAATCACCCTTATGTTTCACATGGGTAGCTTCATAGGAAAATGTTTCGCATTGAATCTAACATTCCTCATTTATTCGATTCATAGCTTTTAAATCCACTAGTTTCTTAGCCGCCTCTCTTAGTTTGGTGCAATTGATTATAACTTGTTGTATATAATGTATGCAGGTAAGAAGAGGTGCAGACAGAGCTGAGATCTATAGTTTGGCCTTCTCTTCAGATGCCCAATGGTTAGCTGTCTCAAGTGACAAAGGAACTGTTCATGTTTTCGGTCTGAAAATCAACTCTGGATCTCAAGTGAAGGACACATCCAGAAGGACACATCCAGAATGGTTAGCTGTCTCAAGTGACAAAGGACCTGATGCAACTCACGCTGCTTTATCACCGTCATCATCTCTATCATTACTCAGAGGTACATACCTTAAACCCCAAAACCAGTTTCTCGGTAGCGTTTTGAGACGTCATCATCAACATCAAACCTTGCTCTTTTTCCAAATAGGAGTGTTACCAAAGTATTTCAGCTCGGAGTGGTCAGTGGCTCAATTCAGGTTGGTTGAAGGATCTCAATACATAGTGGCATTTGGACATGAGAAGAACACAGTGGTGATTCTTGGGATGGATGGGAGGTAAGCGAACCAAAGCCTAAACTTAATAATGTCCAACAAGTCGGATCAGCAATTTTGTTTGACATTTGGGTGTTTTGCAGCTTCTACAAATGCCAGTTTGATCCAGTGCAGGGAGGAGAGATGTCTCAGCTCGAGTATCACAACTGTCTGAAGCCGCCTTCTGTGTTATGAAACAACAAGTCATCATTCTCTAACTTCCTTTCTATATATAAAAATCTTGTTGAGTTTCTGGGTTTTAGGCTTGTGTCTCTGGTAGCATATGTGGTTTGCGGTTAGGTATGGAATGGTCGGTCAATCTCGAAGGATCAAGAGAGTATGTGTATATATATGTAAATGTTGAACCACTAATCACTTATTGATTTAATTAATTACGTTGGATCTCATATTGAGAATACAATTTTGCTTTAGTAAAAAAAGAAAAAATCTTTTTTTGTGACAAAACAAGAAAAAGGAAGGTCAACATTACTAGAGAGTGAAATGGTAAATGAAGAGAGTGATAATGAAAGTTGAAGTGTGTGTTTCTGAGTTCTTGACATCTATAACCCATCAGATGAGGAGGGACTAGGGAGATGGTTCTGCTTGCAGCAACCAGATTTGGTTATAACAGAAAGAAGAAGAAGAAGAAGAAGAAGAAGAAGAAGATGAATCTATCTATCTTTTGTAATAATTTGGGTGATATAGGAAAGTAAGGAAGGATTGATTGTTTTTGATCCTTCTTCTGATGTTGAATTTGATTGAGAGTTAGTTGGTCAAAAGGTGTTATTGGGTTTAGAAAATTAAGAAAAACAGGTGGGCGTTGTCGGTACTTGTCCTTTAAATTATTTTTGTTTTGGGACTTGTTTAATATTGAACGATACGTTTACACGTAAAAAGTCTTCTCTTTTGAGTCGTCTTCTCAGGAAAGATGGATCAAGAGATTCGTTTGTACGAGAGGTTGGTTGACTTTTCCGTTCGACGCCTATATAGAGTATAATCAATCTTATGTAATTGATGACGACGTTCTCTACACTTTCGGGAAGAAATGTGTTCACAAAGGAAGGATTACGTTTTAACAGTTTTATGTGGATATGGAAAAAAAAAAAAACAGTTTATGTGGATATGGAAAAAAAAAAAAACAGTTTATGTGATGTTTATATGTACAAATTTTCTGCAAAATAACAAGGGGAATTTTGTTTTTTTTTTTTTTTTTGTGCAAAAGGGGAATTATGTTTTTTTTTTTTGGTAGGCGGGTAGGAGACATTAAAACACTACGTGGAACTGCAACTCCACTAATATCCTCTAACAAAACCGGATAAACATCATCCGGACAAAACTCAAAACTCTGAAAACCAAGCGGGAAAGTAAACGCATAGTTCGCTAATCCATCTGCTAGACGATTAGCTTCCCTATACACATGAGTAACCCGGACTAACCAGTCCCTCGATATAAAGATGTGGCACAATCGTACCAGGAACGCCAGAGGATGGGAATCCCGAACCCCTGACTGCAAAAAACCCACCACCAACATTGAATCCACCTCCAATACCACCCTTCGAAAACCCCGCTCCCAAGCGATAACAAGGCCGTAGTATACTCCCCATAATTCCGCCAACGGGGCCGAACAAATACCTATATTAAGCACAAAACCGCCTCGCCAGCTTCCATGTTCGTCCCGGATAACACCTCCCGCAGTAGCCTTCCCCGGGTTCCCATGAGAGGCCCCATCCGTGTTAATAGTGACCCAGCCCTCAGCCGGTTTCTGCCACGCAACCTGCCTCACCTCCCGACCGACTCTCTGTTCCCCACCATTAACCACCGAATGAGCTTTTATCACCTCCGCAGCCACATTTTTGACAAATCTTGTCCTATCCCGACAGCTCCCAATTTCACCAAAAATGTTACCACATCTCCACTTCCAAGCCCACCATATCCCCATTGCAAATAAGGTTGGCCAGGTTTCATTCCCCACACCCGACGGTCTATGTAAGTTCCCAAACAACCACTCCAATAAAGACATTGAAAAGAATGCTCGTCTCTCCCGTTCTAGTACCAACCGCCACCAAATTCCAGCCATAGCGGGGCAGTCCCGCAACACGTGAAGGATAGATTTCGTCGCACCCTTACAAATCGAGCATACCTCCGTATCCGAAATCCGCCTGCGCACTCTCTCCATGTTTGTTAAGATCACCTGGTTCCCAACTAGCCAGAGGAATGTACGGACCCGTTCCGGTGCCACCACCTTCCATATTCTATCAAAAAAAGCTGCCATAGAAGGCATCGGTCTCTCCTCATACTTGAACAGAGTATATGCAGACCCAACAGTGAATCTTCCATTCTCTGTTCCGGACCAAGAGATTTTATCTTCAACTCCAAGGGTTCCTTTAATCACCACTGCATAAAGCCTCTCTCTTATATTCACCGGAAGATAAGTCTCCAATCTTGTCATGTCCCACCCAAAACCCTTAGTCCAGTACTCCGCCACTCTCTTACCTTCTTCTTTGACGGGTAGATTCACAACCGTACAATCTATGAGTGGTCTCCCTATAAGCCACCTATCTTTCCAAAAATTGATGCTCTTCCCGTCACCAGGTACCCAGCCTAAGCCTCTCGATATCACTTTCCGCAGCCCCACACCTATACTACTCACCGTTGACGACCACGTACTTTTCGGGACAGTCCATGACTTATCTTGTGCCGCCCCTACTTTATATTTACTCCTCAGAATTCGAGCCCATAAGCTCTCCTTATCCTCCATCAATCTCCATCCGACTTTTGCAAGAAGTGCTCTGTTCATATCCCTGGCCATCCGCAGCCCCAGTCCACCTTCTTTTTTCGGTTTATAAACCCTCTTCCACGATACCAAATGCATTTTTCTCTTCTCAGGCGTGCTTCCCCAAACAAACGCCCTTGATAATTTATCCAATCTCTCCAGTGATGATGCGGAAAGGAGAATAGTACTCATCGAGTGTACCGGGATTAATGATAATACCGATTTTGTGAGTGTAATCCGGCCTGCCAAGCTCAAAGTCTTCCAAAAGGGGAATTATGTTTGTGTCAATAAATCGTGATTAAAAAAATGTGAGATGGATAAAAAGAAAAAGAAAAAAAGAGAGACGTGCGTGAGTGTGGGTGGTGGTGAGAAGTTTCTGGAAAAATGGGAGCAATTCAAGCTCGACTTCCCATGTTGTTCATCTCTCCTTCTATAAAACACCATTCCTTCCTTCATTCTTCTTCATCCAATTTCAAAGTCAGATCCAACAAATCTTCTTCTTCGATCATCATGGCCACTATCAAGGTTCACGGAGTTCCCATGTCCACCGCCACCATGCGCGTCCTCGCTGCTCTCTACGAGAAGGATCTCCAGTTCGAGCTCATCCCCGTCGATATGAGAGCCGGTGCCCACAAGCAAGAGCCCCACCTTTCCCTCAACGTAACCCAACGAACAAACTTGTTTTTGGTGTTTTTCCAATTATCTATCTGACGGCGATTTGATTCTGCTCTTTCTTTTGTTTCAGCCCTTCGGTCAAATTCCTGCTCTCGAGGACGGTGATCTGTCGCTTTTCGGTCAGTTTACTATGATTTGACTTTTTAGATTTATAGATTTCATCATTAGGTGGTCTTACTTACTCACTTTGTGTTGTTGGTCTGTTGGATAACGACGATTCATACACATCAATCTGGCCATCAACTTTTTTTTTTTTCTTTTTCTTTTTTGGTAATATTTTGCAGAGTCAAGAGCCATCACACAGTACATAGCTGAGGAATACAGTGAGAAAGGTGAAAAGCTTCTCTGCCCAGGCTGCAAGAAAGTGAAGGCAACCACCAACGTTTGGATTCAAGTCGAAGGTCAACAGTTTGACCCTAACGCCTCTAAGCTTGCCTTCGAGCGTGTCTTTAAAGGCATGTTCGGTATGACCACTGACCCTGCCGCTGTCCAAGAGCTCGAAGGTAAGCTCCAGAAAGTCTTGGATATCTACGAGGCTAGGCTCTCCAAATCTGACTTCTTGGCTTGTGATTGCTTCACTCTTGCTGATCTTCACCACCTCCCAGCCATCCATTACTTGATGGGCACTGACTCCAAGGTGCTCTTTGACTCTCGCCCTAAGGTTAGCGAGTGGGTTAAGAAGATCACTGCCAGGCCTGCTTGGGCTAAGGTTATTGACCTCCAGAAGCAGTAGTGACCCCTCTCTCATTCTTCACTTCTTTTCTTTTCCTTTTGTCTAAATAAACGAGTCCTGTGATTCTCTTTCTTTGCTTATGTACTTTTGTTTTTCAGTATTTGTTATATCATCATCCTCCTCTTTTGTGTGTTATTGTTGGGTTTGTTCATATATGTGAACCACCGTTAGATTTCGTCGCTATTTCTACATTTTACCTGTAAGAGGTTCAATCTCACGAACCAATATTTACTTAATGACTCAAATAGCTGTTAAGCTGAGAATAACCTTATATAATATTACACGTCTTTGTTCAAGAGCCGGACATTAAACTCAATCGGATTCATCAGAAGATATGTTGCTCTGCAATTGCGTGAAGCCTTGGGAACCAAGATAAGTGGTTTTAAAAACCAGAGTACCAATGAGCTGAGAGTTTAGGAGACCTCTCACTGAAATTGACTGAGTACATTCCAAAACTATTCTTGTATCCGCATACAAAGTAGCCTCTCATGTCTAATCCATTCCTAGACGTAGTAGTCATGTATTTTTTTTCTCTTTCATACACCAACAAGAGCAGAGAAGAAGAGAAGATGCATTAAGAAACACTTGACTTACCTAAACGGCTCTAAGCCATCTATGTGTCGGAAAATATGTTAAAACAAATAAAAATGTGCAGAGTGCGCATCCAGGGAATCGAACCCTGGTCAGTACCGTGGGAGGGTACTATGATACCACTACACCAGATGCGCATGTTGTTATTGTAAAGATTATTTCAATTACCTGATTGATGATAGTAAGAAGCAGAGCAACTTGAAATACAATGGCGCGAGGAGGATTTGATGGATATTGGAACCAGAGAAAACCTGCGCCGGAGTTATAAAACGGCGAAGGAAGAAGGAGAAACAGAGTGGAGCAAGTGGTGACGGTGAAGCAACGACTGTCGTTGTAAGTCGATAAAATTACTTAAAACAGCGAATCCGATCGGATGGTTATTACAGTCACAGAGTAATGATTAAAGCTCTTTCTTATAAAAGTCTTGAGGATCACGCGACCCAAGTCGGGTCACGAGGGCTAAAGAAAGAAGCCGTTACGTGTCCGTTCAAGAGCTTGAACGTTGCACTGTTGGACTTAACACATCTGGGCGTTTTATACTGATTAAACGACCCTCCCTGGCTTATAATCAGATCCATCAGTTTCTCGAACGTTCCTGGTTTCACCACTCTGATCTCTAACGCCCCTATCGATCTCTCTTTCGTCCTGCATTGTCTGTATATGTAATCCAGCTCTTCCTCGACCGCAACGCAACACCCTTCCATCAGCTTCGGCTCCAGATGACCTTGGATCTCCCAGAATAGCACGTAGTGGCCTGGCACTGATGACGTGTCCGCGTAGCTCGTGTACTCCGCCAGGAATGCGTTGCTTCCAAGCTTCTTCTTGGCTAACGTTATGCTCCTGTGCAGATCTTCTTCGTTGGTTTTGTCTAAGTCGATGCTTAGAACTACGTTTCTCCGGCAGATGAACCGGAACTGTGGTGCTTCGTTGTAGAAACCCGCCACTTGAAGAACGTCGCCGATTCTGTATCGGTACAATCCTGTTTGAGCATATGAATCAATCATCAACAAATCCAAAACACTAACTAAACACACAAACAACGTTTCTTTACCTGCGAAAGTTGTGACGACCAGTTCATAGTAGCGACCGAGTTTGACATTGACCAAATCAACGACTTTATCACACGGGACTTGTTCATCATCGTCTAGATCAAAAGAGAGTGCCCCGTTTTTCCCGAGAGGGATAAACTCGAAGTAGCACATGTTAGGCAAAAGAGTGAAAACTACGTCGGATGGTTTGGAGAGTGGTTCCACGTTGACTCCAAAGTAAGTCTCAGAGGAGGCATACATTGGACAAACCAATGGAATCTTCCCTTGGCCAAAGAACTCAAGTGCTGGTATGTATTGAGCCATTGAGCCCGTCACTACTGCTTCGATGAACTTTGCTCTAGGCCAGAGATGACACAGAATCCCTTTCCACGACGACCGACTACAGATCTCTTCGATCTCGCTAGCTAACTCTGGATCGGGCGACGTCAGAAGACAAGACATTGCGATTTGGCACCCTGGATCGGTGATCATGGGGTTGAGACGACCGGTGCGGATGTCTTCACAGAGCTGACTCCATTTCTTCTCGAGGTAAGAGATTGCACGGAGAAACGCTGAAGCAAAGACAGCTCCTAAACGCATCACTTTGTGGCGGTGAATCAGACCGGCTAGTAACTGACAGTACATGCTTTGGTTGCTGTCTTCACAAAGGATGGTTTGGATAGGACTGGTTAAGTCGTTGAATGGATCATAAGGTCTGCACTGGAAATGCTTGCTCTTATAGTAACTAGTGAGGACAGCTCTGATTGGTAGACCACAAGGAGTTGATGTTTCAGCCTTTACGAAATTCAGGTACATTGCTTTGCCTTTGTCAAGTCCTGGTATGTACCTGTTGTAAAAAAAGTTAAAAAACAGAGCAAGAAGAAGATGGTAAAAAAGGTAACCTCAATGGATATGAAAGATTCTTGAGGTTTAGTGAGTGCTGTTCAAAATTCTCAGAGAATCTTTGGTGGGGACATCAAAATTGGCGTGTGGATAAAAGATGATGGAAGCAAACTTTATAGTACATGACATGATACCACTAATTGCCCCCTAAAAAATACAAAAACTTCTTTTTCTTCCTTGAGTGAGAAACCCATTGTGATGATTTTATTGGTACCACGGCAAGTACCTCTTATGAGTGTTTATTATATACATATGTATCTAGATCCCATATGTTAGTGGTACAATGATTATGAAACCATATTCACACTGTGGTAAGCATTTTTGTTCTTTCAATATTAATGGATAACATTGAAGAATTTGATGTGATTTCCTTCCACTTCCATAGAGATTGGCTTTTGAGACATATCCATTATCCTACAACTACAGGAACAGTCCTAGTGGTTCTTTTGAGACCAGCCACTTCTTTTTTTTAAGGACATGATGGTCACCTATTGAGTAAATATTTCCATTTTCACTTTAAAGATTTCAGAAAGTAGAGCTTGCCCTTAAGCTTTTAAACTACATCCAGGAGGATGTTAAAGGAGATCATAGAAGATGACAGGATAATTATTAAAAGGAGGAATTCACTGACTTGTTCACGATTGGAATGATAAGATTGTAGAGAAAAGTTCGGCGATCAAGATCTTCAGAAATGGTTGGCATTAGCTTTGGCTCTCCAGCAGAAGTCCCAGAGCTGAAAAATGCAAGAAAACAGTTAATTTTCATTAGCTAAAAGATAACACAGAGAGAGATGTAGCGACTAAAAAAAGTTATAGACAGAAACAGAAACTGACCTGCATAATATTTCAGTAATAGGATGGCCAGTAATGAGAGAAGAGTCTTCTCCATTAGCAATTCTCTGAATGTACGGATAGATATCTTTGTATGTGATGATTGGCACAGATCGTTTAAACTCCACAACGTCTTTAGAGCCTTTCATGTACTTACTCAAGTACTCTGTGTCCTTGTTTCTTTCTAAGATCCCACATAAAATGTTATCTTGAACTTCAGCAGCTTTCGAGGTGATCCTCTCGAGCTCTGTTAATGCATTGCCACCTTTGTAGTTGTAATCAAGCTTCATTACATCCATTTTTTAGCTTTAACCAAAGACAAAAGAATAAAAAGAAGAAGAAGAAGAAGAAGAAGAGGAGGAGAGGTAATGAATGCCTCAGGACTCAAAGGAAGGAGGTGTATTTTATAGTGGGTTTAGCCATATTTACATACCCAGAAATGGATATTAACTTTGTCCTTGCAACATATCAGTTAAAGGGAAAAAAAAAAGATCAGTGCTGATATCATCAATTATGCAAGCTCTCAGTTTCAAGGAAGGACAATACGTATAAGAAAATCATCTACTTAAAGACACTAACAAAATAATATTGCGCAAACACATAGCAGCTTCTTCTCTCTACTTTTTTACTTTAAACTTGACTTTCTGCCGCATAGCAGAACCTTATATAATGGCTATGAATACGATATGTCTACAATAGCCTGAGTCATGTTACAGCTACCAAAGAGTCATTAACATGTTCTCAGTAAAATGAAGAGACTTTGTTCAGCATGAGAATCAGGGAAGCAATCACAACCATCCATTTTTTATCAAAAAAGGGGGCCACATCTTTTGGTGATCAACCACTGTCATGATCATCAAGCTTTAAAACATGATGCGTTTGGTGCTCGCCGCATCTGATAATTGGCGAAAGTCCACCACTAGCTAAACAATTGCTGACGCTGCTCTGTCCCTCAAGAGGAACAACTCTAACAAGACATTGTGGAGGCTGTTGGGGGTGGATTCTTTTTCCATATGCAGAAAGGGTTTAGTGACAAACAAAAAGCTAAACTTGCTTCTCTCTGTTATTTTGGTGACTCGGTTTGGCATATAATGTATCGCACTATTGACCCTTTTCCATGCATGGTGATTCACTTCTCACCATTCCCATAACAAAACAAAAGAGATCTAACAGTCTTTAAACTCAGATACTATTGGTTCGTAGTCTTATCCACAAGCTAGATCTTGTTCCCTCTCCAGATTTCCCTGTTTAAAGCTGAGTTTTAACAGCACAGCATCAATTAAACCTATGTGGGTTTTAAAATGTGAACCAATGTTTTAATTAAGGTGAAAAAGAGAAGTTGTTACACGAAACTACATGGCTGTTCTAGTGTCACAATCAGACTTTCGACTATTTCAGTGACATATTTATTCTTTCTGTGCAAGTTGTAGAAAGGTTAAGAACTTCACTTTTCTTGGCATTTCCGTGTTAATGGAATTCACACTCAACAAGAAAGCAACAGACAAGCTGTAAGAAGAAGTTTTCTATGTAAGGCAAGTCTGAAAGCTGACTATTAACATTTTCATGAGTAAACATTTCCTTTATCTTCTCATGAAAGAAAAAAAAAAACAAACACAACTTTAGATTCAATGGATGCAGAACACTGTATGCCATATGTATCAAGACTATGTAACCACCGAGTCTTATCTTATTTATTAAGAGAAAGAAAAGGAAATAAAGATGACTCATGGGTAAGGAGCAAAAATAAGTAAAAGCAATAAAAATAGATAGACAAGGTGAAGCAAAGGCCTATGAAAATAAGCTCATGTCTTCCTATTTTGGGCGTCAAGCTTTCATTTGCCAGCACCAATCAATGTGTTAACAGAGACACTTCTCTACCAATATATCACGAGACCATAAATTTAACTACAACTGAAAAACTCTTTGTTTACCTTCTTTAGGCAATTATCAACAGAACACGAGGACAGACAGTGACTAATAAACCAAGAACTATAAAGAAAACCACAAGTCTCTTTTCCTAGTCACTGTGGAGGTTAAGGAAACAGTTTTGTATCAAAAATGATGTGTTTTTTTAATAAAAGATTTAATCACAGATGATCATTCAAATATGATCACAAATAACAGTTTGACAACGAAAGGTACTATTTTCAACAAACAAACAAGTGTTGATGGCAAAGTGAAGATGGACAATAGTAATTATTCTTGGTCATCAGTAAATGTATAACAAGAATCATGAAGGGGGCAATAGAAATTTCTTGCTAAAATTTTTTTATAGCTTCGTGGTTTTATTAGACAACATGAATCATGAAGGGTGTACCAGAATGACCTCAAGTCCTTAGTGAGCTGTGGACATCTTTCTATGGCCGGTTTTAATTCGCTTCCTCTAGATTCAGCTTGATCCAGTCCACTCCCATATTGTTTATGACTTGCCTTGACCAATGATCATAGAGTAGCTAGCTTCTATGCTACATGATCAAGTTCAATGCCAATGAAGTTACTAAAAGAATAAAGACAGAACAGTAAAAAGTCTACTTAAGACATAAGTTAGCATATCTGTTGAGGAAGAATTTGCACTTGCAAGGACAGGTTATTACGCAAGAAGGCACATATTCTACACCAAGTCAAATCAAGGAAAAGCTAAGAACCCAGTTTCATAGCATAACTATTATAAACTACGAACTTTAAAATTCTCATCTTTTCTTTTCTTCTTTCTTTTAGTACAGTAAGATTCCCAATGCCGTTGAAAACAAATTCCTTATGTCTAATTCTTATACATTTCGTCCTAAAATAATTGTTATAATTTAGTTGCCCAAAAAAAAGAAAACAATTTATAAATCACCATGATTACAAAACTCATACATTAAAGTTAACAGTTAATTTTATAGCTTATCTCTAAGTTTTGGAAACAAGAAGAAAAAAAAAGAACATCAAAAGGTTCACTTATGCTTTTTGTGTATTTGGGATTTAGGGTCTTCTTTGAGCTGGTAAGGATCGTCTGAAGGAGCTAACCAGAGACCGACTAGAATGATAAAGTGTAGGCACAATAGCAAACCCGAGGAGGCTGGTGTTGATGGATACACGTTCCAACAGAGCTCGATGCCGAGGAACAAGATCAAGCTTTTTCAGTCAAAACAAAAACAAGAAGACGGGTTAGGTTTTGGAGTTTTATAGTGTCGTTACGGGTAAGAAATGCAGAAAATTATTTACCGCAGCCAAGTGGGAAACGGTGTTCTCCATAGCAGATAAGGTAGTGAATAGAAGTACCTGTTATGATCATATGATATGAGTATTGGTTTTGAGGCCAAGAATGTACGAGAAAATTAAGAAATACCCGGGTTTTTTTGGTTACCATGAGTAGAACTGGTAGTGCAGAGAGCGAGCACATACAATGCCGATGAAATTCCCAACAAACATGGTCGTGACGATATCTGCGAATCAAATGAAATGCCTGTAAGTGTGGGCACAGACAAATATAAGCTAAATTGACAGTAAAAGCTTACGTTCTTTCGTAAGAATCCGTGAGGCTGAGACATCACTGATCGAGAGTGAAGACGGAAGCATCAAGAAGAAATGCCTAGAACGCATGAAGCCTATAATCCCACCTTCATGCCTACGAAAACCAACATATTCATTAAAACTGATGCTAAACACACAAGATATGGACTGTAGTGGCAGTACAAAACTGCAACTGCTTTCAAATTGCAGCTGTCTTATGAGAACTAACTCTGTGATTGTACTTACTTGCACCATTTATAATTTGCAAACGCCGCAAGGAGACAAAGGTGAGCAATGAGCAAGCATACTGCAAATTCTTTGGATACAAAAACTCGTTCTGGAACAAATTTGAAGTTAACAGACCTGTTGAGAGCTCACACTAGAGTTAGAGGTCAAAAGATATTTTTAGATCCCATCAACATGTTTATTAGATTTAGCGGGAGAGGAGTGAACAATACCAGAAGTGAATGAAAACACGTCCAAGATCAAAGGCGTTTGCTATGTATGAAACCGGATATGTCATCAGAAAGGGCAATCCCACGAGTATCTGTATAATCATTCATTGACCAGCTGAATGGTACTGCTTCCATAATCAAAACTATAATTCGCTGGATACTGCAACTCACCTATTTACATTGAAGAAACAGTTAACAAGTTTCCAAAATTTCATGGAGAAACAATGCTACGCGGAAAAATTGGTGTATAACGGGACTTATAAGAGATAAAGTGAAACCTGAACAAGAGCTGCACCAGCCAAAGCAGATACCACTCCAATTATATTCATGGCCTGTGAATAGTAAAACTTCACATATGAAGAAACAATGCAAAAAGAATAATAAACAAAACTCATAAACTAATTCTCTTCCTCGAACATATATACCTTTAGCAGCAGAAGTAACAAAGGTGGAGCATACAAAAGTACATTCATCTTTATAGAAACAGCTCCACTGAATAAAAAAGAAGGGTAAGCAGACTAGTCAATCTCAAGAATAGAGAAGCAAAAGCAGCAACCTTACCTAAAAACAAGCATCCCTAGATGCCATTTACGATAGAGAAAGAGGGCCATTGATGAATGTAGGAGAGTCATGGCAAAACAATCATTAAAGAGACGGAGAACAAAGATTGAATGTATCCTCTTGGATAGACATAGTAGACATAGCGCCCACCATGGCACCTGAAATAGGTAAGGATACAAGAAGAGTAAAAGCACTCCCATTACAAATGGACAAGTCAAAACCAAAAATTCTTTCATTAACATCGTAAATGGGACAAGGATAGTCTCAGGGAAGACGTCCACTAGTACTTGAAGAAAAGAGATAAGAAACAAGGCTTCATTAGTACCACATCAGTCTTGACATAGATGAACAAGACGATCCCCAGATTGACAATGTAGAGAACACCAAAAAGAATCTGCAACATGTGAGAGACTAAAATTGAGAAAAATGAAGTGATGGATGAATCAAATTCCGCAGCTAATCCAAAGAGAGGTAAGTCCAAGTACCTGAGCAGGGTAGACTTGCCCACCAGTTAAGTTCTGCACTGCAGAGTAAAGATAGAGGAAACCCGCTGGATAAACCAATGGCCCTGTATCGCCTTTCAAGTTCCCATAGTCTCTCTCTCCCCCTAGAAACCCACTAACCTGCCCCAATACCAAAACTTTCACTTAAAAGACGACGACTACTACTTTGAAGAAACCACAGTTGACCATTGACACGAACCTGTGACATGTAAGCATCCCAATCGATCTTCGTGTCTGTTTAAAGCAAATGAAGAAATTAGGTTAAAGCCCATGTCCAATGCACATTTCGGAAGCAAAAAATGGAGGAAATCAGATCTCACATGGAACATAGGCGATAATAAGTCCGACGAGGATTGCATCAGCAAGAATTAGAGCGAATGCGAATGGAAGTTTAGGGTTTTTCAATAGATCGGGAAGAATCGTCTCCTTCCCGAGCTGACGGTTACGAGAAGCTCTCAAACTCGCCGGTGATGAGGCGCCCGCCATGAAAACAGAGCTAATCGCACCAGTGAAACAGACTACTACTTTCATATTATTATTAGCCCAAATTAAATGTGCCTAATGGGCTTATTGTCTTAGTCGGTGTAAAGCCCAATAAATAGTTAAGCATCGTAATCGTCCAAAAAATGTGTATGCGTCAGACATGAGCATATTAGTAAGCACGTGTCCACTCTTTTTCACTAAGTCGGTCGATTAATATCCAAAAACAAAACAATTATTTAACATTCCACGTGTACACATCACTGGCCACGTGTCTCTCCACCACCAGAGCCTTGGCCTCTTTGCTTCTTCTTCTCTATTAATATCATCATCTCCTGATTATACTCTTCTGACCAAGCTGCTTCTTCAACTTCTTCTCCATCTCAAATTTCAATAATCTTGTTTCTTCGTTCCTGTTTCGGACTTTTGTAATGGATTCTCAGGACATCAGATACCGTGGCGGAGACGACAGAGACGCTGCAACAACGGCTATGGCTGAGACAGAGAGGAAAAACGCTGACGACAACAAAGGAAAACGCGATCAAAAGAGGGCCATGGCGAAGCGCGGTCTGAAATCTCTGACTATAGCGGTTGCGGCTCCTGTGCTCGTGACGCTCTTCGCCACGTATTTCCTCGGCACAAGCGACGGCTACGGAAATCGAGCTCGGTCGTCGTCGTGGATCCCACCTCTGTGGCTCCTACACACCACGTGTCTCGCGTCGAGCGGTCTGATGGGATTGGCTGCGTGGCTTGTATGGGTCGACGGTGGCTTCCACAAGAAGCCCAATGCTCTGTATCTTTACTTGGCTCAGTTTATGCTCTGTTTGGTTTGGGATCCGGTTACGTTCCGGGCCGGGTCGGGAATAGCCGGGCTTGCGCTGTGGTTGGGTCAATCAGCTGCGTTGTTCGGATGTTACAAGGCCTTTAGTGAGATAAGTCCGGTCGCTGGTAATCTGGTAAAGCCGTGTTTGGCTTGGGCTGCGTTTGTAGCCGCTGTTAATGTAAAGCTTGCAGTCGCGTGAGATCTGTAAACGCCACCATGTTTGTAGAGTCATATGAGTGTTTTCTTTCGTTTTTGTGATATATACATAAAGATGTCATTGCCATCCAATGGTCTACTCATTGTAGAGTAATAGACATGAACATGATATACTTGAGAAATAATGTGATATCTCTGCATCTTTTTTTTTTTTTTCACTGAATGATATTGGTATTAGATTCGGAAAGGTTACAATACATGAGAAAGAAGAGAATAAACTATAAAGAGACACAATACTCGACCCATAACCTACGAAGAGGAAGGGAGATTTTGATAATACATTGCAAAAACCAAACTAATCTTATCTCAAGACTAACTAAGCTTTCGAAGCTCACCAAAAGAACTTTTCGCACAACAAACTATGAAGACGGGTTTCAACACTTAAAGCAATAACATGATAGTGGAACTTGGCCTTCTCCGAAAATGATACATCTTTCTCAAATAATGCCTTGTCACGGGTCTCCCGGATGAACCGTAAGATAATCGAGAACCGCAAGACCTTTCAACGCCACAACTAACAAGTATTGAAGCCAACCAAAGCTTAATACTACGGAATAATACCAAAGAGCTCAACCCCAAACTAACATCGAGTAAATTAGTCGAGGAGGAGAAGCATAAGCCCAAAAGAGGGAGACAATAGCCCAAACAAGGGAAGCAGACGACCCCAACACCACAAATGCTAAAACTTTATAAGACATTTGCAATCGATAAGGCCTAACAAACACCAACGAAAACCTACACTAACGGCCTCAAACAGACAAAGCAACTTCAATCAACGACCATGGAGCAAAAAGGCAAAGCAGATGTGGAAACAAACCGAAAAAAGAGACCGAAGAAACCACGTCGCAGATCCGCTCGCTCCAAAGAGAACCAAGCCGCAGAAACAGGAGCAGGCTCACCAAACACAACCTAAGCGTCTGACCACCAAAGGAAAATCAGAACACAGGCCACGACATAAGCCTACAACTCCTCTTAAACACCTAAGCACACCGACGCGTCAAATCCGACTCCATAGCCGACCAGGACCGACCGAAAACCTCAGATCTGAGAGACCACAACCACAAACCCTCCATAGCACGATTGAACCATCCGTTGAGCCGCAAACTATGCCGCAAAGGAAAGAAAAGCTAACGACACGAAGAGGAATCCGACGGCGGCACCAGAGGCACACCAACCGCCGGATTCAACCGGAAACCACCACACCGATCTAGATCTGAAACAATGTCGACTTTATCGCTTGGGGGAAAGGAAACTTCGGGTAAATCCCAAAAAAAAAAAAAAAAAAAAAATCTCTGCATCTATACATACAAGTTTTAAGCGTTGGTTATTTATTTCAGTGTTTATGCTGAAATCAAACAGTGAGATTCTTAAAAGCGGGTCGCTTTTATATGTCTCCAAAACGGAACCAATTCAAACGGTAAAGCCAACTACTCTAGTCAGTTTTGGGTTGCGCCGTTGAAACTGTTTATTGGGCTATTCAATTAACTAAAGTTTATTGGGCTATTCATTTAGGTCCTTGTGCTTTTTGATTTAGCCTCGACACTCGTGCCGACGGAGTGGCCGTGCCTATCGTGTAACAGTCTCGAGCCATACCCCGACACGTGTTAAAAACGGTCCACTAGTAGTGAGACACCTGTCAAAAGGACAGCTGTCCTAGCGGTCACTCGTCTCTAACAATCCAATCCCTTTCGCTTAAAGCCAAAAAAAAGAGCATGTCAGCAACATGCCACGTGGTCCGGTGACATAAGTCTTTTTAAAGACAGAGAGGTTCGTTCGTCTGCAACGGCTCCAAGTTTTTGACAATGGCTGAAGAAGATGAGATAGTAGTCGAAGAAGAGCAATCACAGCCACCGGAGGTTACTCCAGTGCCACCATCTTCTTCGCCCTCGCCTTCGTTAGTGGTGGAAGACGACGATGAGATGAAGCTCAAGCACTTGGAATTCATCCAAGTCGCGGCGGTTTACTTCGCCGCCTGTTTCTCCACGCTCTACGAGTTGGCTAAAGACAACGCTGGTCCCCTCCAACTCGGCGTCGAAAACATCGAAGATTCCGTTCGAACCGTGCTTGCTCCATTATACGACAAATTCCACGACGTTCCTTTCAAGCTTCTCCTCTTCGTCGATCGTAAGGTAAAACAATCAATGCGATTCTTAATTTGAATGTCTCCTCTTTTTCAATGGATGATGATGATAAGTGAGAGGCAAATGATTTGCTTGGTTTTCAGGTGGACGATGTGTTCTTCGATGTTGAGACATACGTTCCTTCGCTGGTGAAGCAAGCTTCTAGCCAAGCACTCACGGTGGCCACAGAGGTGCAACGCGCCGGCGTTGTGGACACCACCAAGAGCATTGCGAGGAGCGTCCGGGACAAGTACGAGCCTGTGGCAGAGTATTACGCAGCGACGCTATGGCGTTTACTGAATCAAGTGCCCTTGTTCCCTGAAGTTGCGCATTTAGTGATCCCCACGGCATTTTACTGGTCAGAGAAGTACAATGATGCGGTTCGTTACGTTGGCGACAGAGACTACTTTGGGGCAGAGTATCTACCCATGATTCCTATTGAGAAGATCTCTGATATTTTGGAACAAGATCAGTGTCGATCTGACTAAGAAGCCAAAGATTCCTTCTTCTTTGGAGCATTACATGTACTCTGTTTTTCTTTCCTTTCTGCAATTTGCTATTTCAAGATTCAATCTTTCTTCAATATTTCATTATAACAACTTTGCCTTTTAAAAACAAGAGACATAAAGAAACTGTCCTCTTCAGTCTCAACTTTTTATAAAAGACACGAGACCCAAAAAGTAGTATTCGTTTACTAGTAAGGAGAGTGTCTGTTTTTCTTGCGGTTCCTTGGCGGCTTAACAACCAACTCACTTGAAGTCCAAGACCGGTTATTCTCTGTAGAATTCTCATCGGAATTCCAGCAACATAGCCGCCCATCTTCACCGCCAGTCCATCCAAATAACCCTGCAGCTCCTCCATACTCACATGGCATCTGCAGAACACTCCTTACTACATCTACGTGACCTCCACCAAGGATAGCTCCAGCGGTACCGATTGATCCAGGCTGTCTATAGTTCACCGGAAAATAACCAATGGTTCCTGCGCAGGTTCCACCAATAACCCATAAATCTTCCCCTCCTGGACAATGGCAATCAACAAAATAATCAACCTGCAAAAGAGTAAATGGGATGTCTCTTTTAATAACCAGAAGGTTTCGCGTTAGTGTTAATGTTTCACTAGAAGGGAAAGAATGAGATTGTTACATTATCCTGAGCCCAACTATCAGATGCGAGTTCCCGAGCTTTCTCTAGGTTGACTTCACAGCTTCCATCTTGCCAGTTCCAAATGCTAGAAAGGAGTAAAGAAATTAGAGACAGCACAATTAACAGACTACAGTTGGAGAGGAGGGCGTGAAAGAGTAGTACCTTAGAGTTTCTATATGAGTGAGACACCAGAGCTTTTTATAGCAATCTCCGAGGAAACCTATTTTGCCAATTGAAGTTCCCACATTGATCACCTAAAGAACGGTCAAGGCAAAAATGGTTCAGTAATCTCATCTACTATCTCGATGCAGCGAAAGAAGGCTGATACCTTAAATCTAAAACTTACAGATTCCAGATGGTCATCGTCATTGATATCACCTTCAGTGTTAAATAGACATATCAATCCATCCACGGAAGCTGAAAGAAGCTTGTTGGGGTTGTTAGGAACAAAGTGTACCTGTAATTTAGAACACCCACACAACAGAGTTGAACTCTATTTAAGTAACAACAAACTAACAACAAACTATTTCGACTCTAGAGATACAAAGGACTACAGTTCCAACTTGAGCAGAAACAATCAGAGAGCAAAACACACCTGAGTGACGTCGTCCATGTGGGATTCCTCTAAACAAGCAACTTGCTTTGAGTTTCTCCAGTCCCACAGAAGAACCTGCACCATTGCTTCAGATTGTGACAAGCTGAAACATAGAAAATGCTCAAAACTGGCCTTTTTTTTTCTCAAAGTGTACTCCTTTAAAAACATTTAGAGATAAAATACACGATTCCACAGCATTGAGATGCCAAACCTGCTCTTTGCATCCACCAGCCAAAAGATGATCTGCAGCACCTCCATAGGAGAAGCTGAAAACCTCCTGATCATCCCCAGCAACAATACATGAAACCTGAAACACCCACCCATGATCAACTTGAAATTCAATGAGATCCGAAAAAGGAATCACATTTTTTAAGACGGAAAAAAAGAAAAGTCACCTGTTGGAAACTTCGCGTGTCCCAAGATCTAATGGTGCCATCGGAGGAACAAGAGTGCAGAACGTGAGGAGAGGCCGCTGAGTCGGAGGAAAACGCAATCTGATTGACGGTATCGGAGTGGCCTTTACATTCGCCGTAGTATTGACCAGTCACCGGAGAGTAAAGCTTGACGGTGTTGGTGGATAACGAAACCGCAATTGCTGTCCAATCGATTCTGTCAAAAAAGGGTTCTCTCTCAGAAGCCTAATAATTTTGTACGGTAATCGAAAAGAGAGAGAACAGAAACCTTACTTTGGGACAATCTGGAAGACGTAGTCAGAGCCGAAGTTGGTCTGAATAGAGTTCTTGAGCCCAACGTTTTGAGCTGAAGAAGAATCCGAAAGCTGGCGATTTTGCACCTCCACTTCCATCTCCGACGACGCTTCTTCCATTGGTTTGAGCGAAATCAAAAAGGGTTTAACGGTTTAGGGTTTGATCGTTACGACCAGTGGAAGAAGCGTCGTCTATAGGTCAAAGTGATATGGCCTGTTTTAACCTTTAGGCCCATTTCTGAGCCAGCCTCACTCACGGTCCATTACGATTATTAAGATTGCTTTGTACCATAAACTATAATTAGCCCAAGCAATTTATGTCTCGTCTATACTAATAGAGAGATTTTCCAGAAAGTAATGTTTCAGTAGTGATCACTGTCAACTTTTAATACAAAATAAAATAATATATGCTGGCCAGAACAAAAACATACTACTAACTAAAATGTGAAAAGAAAAACATTCAAAAAGAATTAAAGCATATAGAAAGGCACGTGATGGCAGCAAACAGATTTAGTGGTTACAACCACAAATATACTACTACTATTGATACTATCGAGATTTATGAAACTGTCTTTTTCCAATGGC